CAATTTTTTGCTTCTTTCTTCAATTCTAACTCCATAAAGTCAAAATTCTTTTAAGTCTTCACATTTTCAGAGAGAATTCTTCTAGAATCATCTCGTACTCAAGTTAATTAACCTCTCTATTCAAGGTTAATCTTGCATTGAAAATAATTTTTTTCGGAAATAGGATCCTTCTAGAATATATTTTCTGGATCTTTCGAAAATGTTATTAAACTCGTGTTTTTTCATTTCTTTCTTCAATTAAAATTAAAATTAGACAAAGAAATCAAAAAAGGTGGCTGTTCATATTTCGAACTAGACTCCTTTTCTAGAATCACATCGTAAATAGTAATTCTTCTTTTTTTGTCTATTTCGAAAAGAATTCTGCCAGAAATTCTTCCGATTTTTTAAGAATTCTTTTCAGTTTTTTGCTTCTTTCTTCAATTCTAACTGCATAAAGTCAAAATTCTTTTAAGTCTTCACATTTCCAGAGAGAATTCTTCTAGAGTCATCTCGTACTCAAGTTAATTGACTTCTCTAATATTCAAGGTTAATCTTGCATTGAAAATAAAATTTTTCGGAAACAGGATCCTTCTAAAATATCTTCTTTTCTGGATCTTTCGAAAATGTTATTAAATTCGTGTTTTCTCATTTCTTTCTTCAATTAAAATTAAAACTAGACAAAGAAATATAAAAATTTGGCTGTTCATATTTCGAACTAGACTCGTTTTCTAGAATCACATCGTAAGTAGTAATTCTTCTTTTTTTTGTCTATTTCGAAAAGAATTCTTCTAGAAATTCTTCCGATTTTTTAAGAATTCTTTTCAATTTTTTGATTCTTTCTTCAATTCTAACTGCATAAAGTCAAAATTCTTTTAAGTCTTCACATTTCCAGAGAGAATTCTTCTAGAATCATCTCATGCTCAAGTTAATTAACTTCTCTATTCAAGGTTAATCTTGCATTGAAAATAAAATTTTTCGGAAACAGGATCCCTCTAGAATATCTTCTGTTCTGGATTTTAAAAAAATTTATTAAATTCGTGTTTTTTGCTTTCTTTCTTCAATTAAAATTCAAGCTAGGCAAAGAACTACAAAATTTTGGCTTTTCATATTTCGAACTAGACTCGTTTGCTAGAATCACATCGTGAATAGTAATTCTTCTTTTTTTTCTCTATTTCGAAAAGAATTCTTCTAGAAATTCTTCCGATTTTTTAAGAATTCTTTTCAGTTTTTTGCTTCTTTCTTCAATTCTAACTGCATAAAGTCAAATTTCTTGTAAGTCTTCACATTTTCAGAGAAAATTCTTCTAGAGTCATCTCGTACTCAAGTTAATTCACTTCTCTATTCAAGGTTAATCTTGCATTCAAAACAAAATTCTTCTCTGGATCTTTCGAAAATATTATTAAATTCGTGTTTTTTCATTTCTTCCTTCAATTAAAATTAAAATTAGACAAAAAAATAAAAAAATTTGGCTTTTCATATTTCGAACTGGACTCATTTTTTAGAATCACATCGTAAGTAGTAATTCTTCTTTTTTTGTCTATTTCGAAAAGAATTCTTCTAGAAATTCTTCCGATTTTTTAAGAATTCTCTTCAATTTTTTGCTTCTTTCTTCAATTCTAACTCCATAAAGTCAAAATTATTTTACGTCTTCACATTTCCAAACAGAATTCTTCTAGAATCATCTCGTACTCAACTTAATTAACTTCTCTATTCAAGGTTAATCTTGCAATGAAAATAAAATTTTTCGGAAACAGGATCCTTCTAGAATATCTTCTTTTCTAGATCTTTCGAAAATTTTATTAAATTCGTGTTTTTTGATTTCTTCCTTCAATTAAAATTAAAACTAGACAAAGAAATAAAAAAATTGGCTTTTCATATTTCGAACTGAACTGGTTTTTAGAATCAAATCGTAAGTAGTAATTATTCTTTTTTTGTCTATTTCGAATAGAATTCTTCTAGAAATTCTTCCGATTTTTTAAGAATTCTCTTCAATTTTTTACTTCTTTCTTGAATTCTAACCCCATAAAGTCAAAAATTTTTTAAACCTTCACATTTCCGTATAGAATTCTTCTCGAATCGTCACGAACTCAGGTTACTTAACTATTCAACATTAATCTTGCATTGAAAACACAATTTTTTGGAAACATAATCCTTCTAGAATATCTTCTTTTCTGGATCTTTCGAAAATGTTATTAAATTCGTATTTTTTCATTTCTTTCTTCAGTTAAAATTGAAACTAGGCAAAAAAATACAGATTTTTCGCTATTCATATTTCGAACTAAACTCGTTTTAGAATCACATCGATAGTAGTAATTCTTTCTTTTTTTTTGACTATTTCGATCAGTTCTTCCAATTTTTGAAGAATCCTCTGCAATTTTTTACTTTTTTCTTCAATTCTAACTCCATAAAGTCAAAATTCTTTCATATGTTATCATTTCTAGAAAGAGTTGTTCTAGGATCGTCTCGATTTCCTGTTAACTAAGGTTTCTGTTTAACTTTAATCCGGCGCAGAAGATTGTCTTTCTTAAACAGAGTCCTTCAAGATTGTCTTCTTTTCTGTATCCTTTGAGATTGTTTTTAAATCCAAGTTGTTTAACTTCCTTTTTCAATTCTGACCCCACTAACAAAAAAATATCTTCTGTTTCCTTCATTTCCAACTAGAATTTTCTGAAATGAATCAAACTCGGGGTAGGTAATTTAGTTTCGTACTGAAGTTGTAATTGTTTCTTTTATTCACTTTTTTCTCCAGTAGAATTTCTCTACAATCCTTCCAACCCTTCCAGAATTCTGTTTGACTTTTGATTTCTTCTAGATCCTTAAAGAAGTAAAATTTTTAGAACTCACGGGACAAAGATCTAGATAGGGAGATATTTTTTGAGGATGGTGCACGAACAGACAGGTGGACTTGAAGATTGAACCTTTACCGCTTTATCTAGTAAACACTTCGTCACCGTGATAATAGAGGGCGACCATTCTTTCAGCTAAATAAGACACAATCGCAATTCCATTGGCTGTTTGTTACGTCCTCGAAAAGAACATCCACACAGAGCTTATCACTTCGAGTTAGTTTTCCGGCGATAAATCCAGCGACCATTATTATGCTACTGTTATCAGCTCTTGAAATAATTCTCATTAGTAACGACCAATTAAACATGAATTGCACCGGATTTAGCCAAGAGTGGCTCCCTCCAACTACGAGAACTCCGTACCCGGAGAAAATATCGACTTTATAGAGTCGTTACCCCCGCGGACAAATGTTACCTGCTTTTTTCGTCGACGGGTGAAGCACTCTGTAACAAATTTGTTTACACCTCTGATCCGGCTTCATATGAACGTATTGTTGTTGTGTCACTGCAATCCGGCATTGATGCAAAAATATGTAATTTCCGTTCCGGAACGGCGGCGGGAGTGGATTTCGGGTCTTGGATTTGTTCGACGTGTTCCCATTCCCGCGTCCGCGTTGATTTATGCCGGCTGCATTTTAAAATATGTTGTTTGCGCGAACAAGCCGGAACGTGTTCGTTGTGTCTACACAATCGATAGACGAGTCATTACCGGCGAAACCAGGTTAATCTGAGAAAACCAATCAACAAGGTCGTGCCCGAAGCTGAAAATTAGCCATTACGGGTTTTGATTAAAATGAATCCGAGGTGGGAGTCCCCGAACACTAAGCAGGACGTTGTCGAGAACACTCGCTTTATTTACTCAAAGTGCGTTATGAGTTTTATGTTATGAAAGGCCGTCTCGGAGGGGTAGTTTGCCGGAAAATTACCCCGTTTTTTTAGAGCGGTAGATGAAGAATCGCCGTTTATAACGGATAGGTCACAATAGCAAGAACCGATGAACTTTAATTGAAACCATAAATTATAAACAAGGAAAAATTCGAGGTCTGGATTAATAAATTCCCGGAGGATGATCGGGATGGCGCCCGGGTAATCGGACGGATTAAGGGGACAAATATGGAGATGCCGGGATTTTCGGCTCGAGATAGTTCGCACAACATAACATCGATTTTTCGCTGACGTGTAACTAGATTAATAAAATTTAAGCACGGCTGTACGAAGTCGTGCTAAAAAAGAGACCCAGATATTATCTCGAGATTTTCAAAAATAACTTATCGCAGTTCCATCAGGAGTTCGCTCTATAAAGTAAACTCTAGAGTGAGACTGGAGGCTGTGCCCTGATAAATGTGCGCAAAAAATGTCGTTTGTTATACAAATCACGAACTTTGTTCGCAGATTTAAAATTTCAGATAAAATTTCAAACTCCGACAAAGTAAGTGGTTCATAAAAAAGAAAATTAATAAATTATTAAGATTCCTCGTCGGGCGTCCTTTGCCTGGAAGAGCGCAATTTTACTCCCATTCAAAGCAAGTTGCGAACTCTTTGAGCCGACGTTGTATTACTAAATACCTGCTCTAACTAACAATGGCCTAATCCCTTTTTCAATGAAATACTTACTTTCTCTGCGTTAAGCCAACCTCATATTCATTGTTGATTTTAAGTAGATGTAGGTGCCCAATTCTTCCAGGAAAGTGTGTATGCGTTCAGACCCTACTCCAGCAGCTAGAATTTTGCGCGCTCTCAACTAATTTTAATTAAAAAATTAAATAGCACCTTTTTAATTCGGGTGGCACTTAATTAACAACCCCTTTCTTCCCGATAATTGCCCGCAAACGAGCGTCAAGGTAAATCCAAATCTCAAAAACCCCCCGAAATTTGCTTCGCTCCACCTCCTCATCCCACCAACGCAATTAAAAAAGCGACCTCCGGTGTCGCTACAAGCCCATCCTGTCGGAATTTACGACCATTAAAGTCCAAAACTGCAGCGCCTCGTGAATATTCATAAATAAATAATTTACTTCTTGTAACAGGCCCGGCCGCATATGCAGGCCGCTAAAACCCGGGAACTAGGTGTCTGTATACATTAAGTGTTGCATAATTATTCGGAGAATTTATGAAGTTTGGGGGAAGTTCTCAGTTTGAATGGGGACGGTCTGTAAACAGGTGTTTTTGTTTCAGGCTCTTTTACAAGCACATGATGTTGTGGCGCACGAAATTTACGGCGAAGACGCTATGCGGGTCACGCCTCCGCCGTTACTGCCGTACCTCAACGGGGGTGACGACCTGGAAGGGCCCAACGGCGAGGTCGAGATGGAAAACGTAACCAGAGTTAGGCTGGTTCAGTTCCAGAAGAATACCGACGAGCCGATGGTGAGTGGACGGGATTAGGGGCGGTGAAACAATGGGCGGTGTTTGACGGCGCGCGGACAATGGGCGCCCATAGGGGCGGAATTACCTTAAGGCTTTACCTTACATTCATAAAAGATGTCAAAGGATTACAAGGGCTTTCGTTACGAAAAAATTAACATACTTTGGAACACTTCTTAAAAATTCTAACACTTTTCCAGAATCGATAAATTCATTTCAAACTGAATTTTAATTTTTCGGGACCATCAACATGTTGGAGGAAATGAAGAACTTGCTGTGTCCCTTTTTAAAGACAGTGTAACGGAATGTGATCCCTTTTCAAATCCTGGTCACGGCACCAAAATCTGGGCACTCGAGTTTTAAACTAAACATCAACTCATCTATTTGTGTCCGTAGATTCCCTTTTCGAATCCTGGTCACGGCGCCAAAATCAGGTCATTCTGCTCAATTTTAAACTAAACATCAAATAATCGACTTGTAATCGTGTATTGTCTCAGAAATTAAGATCTCATAATGCGTTTTTAGCTTTCTAAAGATAATATGGCGAAATGTGTTCCCTTTCCGAATCCTGGTCGCGGCACCAAAATTTTATTACTCTGCTCAATTTTCAACGAAACATGAAATAATTGACCTGTGACCCGAGATTGTGTAAGAAATGAAGAACCCGTTGTGTTTGCACCTTTTAAAGACAAGATAACAAAATGTGTTCCCATTTCGAATCCTGGTCACGGCACCAAAAATTGGTCACTTTGTTCATTTTTAAGATAAATATAAAATAATCGTTTTGTAATTGTAGATTGAGTACCAAATGATGGAACTGCAATGTGTATGTACCTTTTTAAAGACCATATGACGGAATGAGTTCTATTTTGTATCCTGGTCACGGCACCAAAATTAGGTCATTCTGCTCAATTTTGAACTAAACATCAAATAATCGACTTGTGATCGTATATTGTCTCAGAAATTAAGATCTCATAGTGCTTTTTTAGCTTTCTAAAGACAATATGGCGAAATGTGTTCCCTTTCCGTATCCTGGTCACGGCACCAAAATTTGATTACTCTGCTCAATTTTAAACGAAACATGAAATAATTGACCTGTGACCCGAGATTGTGTAAGAAATGAAGAACCCGTTGAGTTTGAACCTTTTAAAGACAAGAAAACAAAATGTGTTCCCATTTCGAACCCTGGTCACGGCACCAAAAATTGGTCACCTTGTTCATTTTTAAGATAAATATAAAATAATCGTTTTGTAATTGTAGATTGAGTACCAAATGATGGAACTGCAATGTGTTTGTACCTTTTGAAAGACAATATGACGGAATGAGTTCTATTTTTGTATCCTGGTCACGGCACCAAAATTAGGTCATTCTGTTCAATTTTAAACTAAACATCAAATAATCGACTTGTGATCGTAAATTGTCTCAGAAATTAAGATGCCATAGTGCGGGTTTAGCTTTCTAAAGACAATATGGCGAAATGTGTTCCCTTTCCGAATCCTGGTCGCGGCACCAACATTTGATTACTCTGGTCAATTTTCAACGAAACATGAAATAATTGACTTGTAACCGGAGATTGTGTAAGAAATGAAGAACCCGTTGGGTTTGAACCTTTTAAAGACAAGATAACAAAATCTATTCCCATTTCGAATCCTGGTCACGGCACCAAAAATTGGTCACTTTGTTCATTTTTAAGATAAATATAAAATAATCGTTTTGTAATTGTAGATTGAGTACCAAATGATGGAACCGCAATGTGTTTGTACCTTCTGAAAGACCATATGACGGAATGAGTTCTATTTTTGTATCCTGGTCACGGCACCAAAATTAGGTCATTCTGCTTAATTTTAAACTAAACATCAAATAATCGACTTGTGATCGTAAATTGTCTCAGAAATTAAGATCCCATAGTGCGGGTTTAGCTTTCTAAAAACAATATGGCGAAATGTGTTCCCTTTCCGAATCCTGGTCGCGGCACCAACATTTGATTACTCTGCTCAATTTTCAACGAAACATGAAATAATTGACTTGTGACCCGAGATTGTGTAAGAAATGAAGAACCCGTTGTGTTTGAACCTTTTAAAGACAAGATAACAAAATGTGTTCCCATTTCGAATCCTGGTCACGGCACCAAAAATTGGTCACTTTGTTCATTTTTAAGATAAATATAAAATAATCGTTTTGTAATTGTAGATTGAGTACCAAATGATGGAACTACAATGTGTATGTACCTTTTGAAAGACAATATGACGGAATGAGTTCTATTTTTGTATCCTGGTCACCCTCACCAAAATTAAGTCATTCTGCTCAATTTTAAACTAAACATCAAATAATCGACTTGTGATCGTATATTGTCTCAGAAATTAAGATCTCATGGTGCGTTTTTAGCTTTCTAAAGACAATATGGCGAAATGTATTCTCTTTCCGAATCATGGTCGCGGCACCAAAATTTGGTTACTCTGGTCAGTTATCAACTAAACATGAAATAATTGACTTATGACCCGAGATTGTGTAAGAAATGAAGAACCCGTTGTTTGAACTTTTTAAAGACAAGATAACAAAATGTGTTCCCATTTCGAATGCTGGTCACGGCACCAAAAATTGGTCACTTTGTTCATTTTTAAGATAAATATAAAATAATCGTTTTGTAATTGTAGATTGACTACCAAATGATGGAACTGCAATGTGTTTGTACCTTTTGAAAGACAATATGACGGAATGAGTTCTATTTTTGTATTCTGGTCACGGCACCAAAATCTGGTCATTGTGCTCAATTTTAAACTAAACATCAACTAATCCAGTTGTGATGGTATATTGTCTTGGAAATAAAAGGTCCATAGTGCGCTTGTACCGTTTTAAAAACAAAATGGCGAAATGTCTTCCCTTTCCGAATCCTGGTCGCGGCACCAAAATTTGATTACTCTCCTAATTTTTAAACTAAACATGAAATAATTGACCTGTGACCGAAGATTGTGTAAGAAATCAAAGCCCTTCTGTATTTGAATCTTTTAAAGACAAGATAACAAAATGTGTTCCCATTTCAAATCCTGGTCACGGTACCAAAAATTGGTCACTTTGTTCATTTTTAAGATAAATATCAAATAATCGTTTTGTGAGTATGAAATGATGGAGCTGCAAAGTGTTTATACATTTTTAAAGACAATCTGACGGAATGACTTCTTTTTTTTATATCCTGGTCACGGCACCAAAATCTGGTCTTCCTGCTAAGTTTTATACTAAACATCAAATAATCGACTTGTGGTCGCAGATTGTTTAAGGAATTATTAACTTGTATTGTGTTTGCACCTTTTTGAAGACAACATGGCGGAACGTGTTCCCTTTTCAAAACCTGGTCACTATACCGGGTGTCTGGAAAATGGCGGATTAACTCTTCAGTACGTTATGTACGGGGGTTTCCAGATAATTAAAAAATTCTTTATTATATACTTTACGAAAAAAAAAGACCGATTTTGGCAAATGACATACCTTCTAAGAACAGATAGGGTGGGTGGGCGGGGCTAGTATTTGCTAAGATAAGACTGATTTTGGCAAATGAAATATCCTCCAAGAAAAAGGAGGGCGGGTGGGCGGGGCTAGTACCTGCTAAAATGAGACCGATTTTGGCAAATGACTTACCCTCAAAGAAAAGAGATGGCAGGTGATCAGGGCTGCTAAAATAAACGGATTTTGGCAAATGACATACCCTCTAAGAAAGGAGAGGGTGGGTGGGCGGGGCTAGTACTTGCTTAGATAATACTGATTTTGGCAAATGAAATGGCCTCCGAGAAAAGAGAGGGTGGGTGGGCGGGGCTAGTACTTGCAAAGATAAGACTGATTTTGGCAAGTGACGTATCCTGTAAGAAATTTAATTGAATTATTATAAGAGAAGACACTAGAGGCTCCAAAGCACTTTTCAAAAAAAAACGAGGTTATAAAATTAACCCGAAAGCAGGTCAGGTGCAAATTTTCCAAAAATAGAACACCAAAGTCCCCCAAAATTCTTTTAAATAAATTACAAGAAAAAATCTCCATGGGCTCCCAAAATAATACCAGGGGACCTAAAATTAACTGCGAACATTCTAAATGTATGGTTTTGAAAACTTTGACAATTTTTGAGACGTCAGACATTGTCAAATGGAATTTTATTAAGTTATTACAAAAACAACATAACATTGTTGCAAATGGTAAAATTTCTCTCATTTACAATTGAATTTTCGTCGTTCAGCAGATTAGATATTTCCCTAAGGAATTTTAATATCTTTATAAATGTTTAGACAAAACTGCATGGTAAATCTTACTCAAATTTATAAAATAACATTTTCCAAAAATCTTGATCCGGGACAATCAAAACTTTGATTTTCGAATCAGCGTCGAAATATATTTGCTAGGATTCCACATGAATGTTTGACCAAATTTCGAGCACCCTTTGAAAACCCCAACAATTTTTCCAGAATCGATGAAAAATGACAATTGTCGAGATATTAAAAAAATCATTTTCAAACCGATTTTGTCGGGACCATCAACACGTTGTAACCATCTAGGAACCGCTTTTTAAACACAATATATCGAAATGTGTTCCGTTTACGAATCCTGGTCACGGCACCAAAATCTGGTAATTCTGTTCAGTTTAAACTAGACATCAAATAATCGATTTCTGGTCGTAGATTGGGTACGAAATAAAGTATATCCGGTGTGTTTGTGCTTTTTGAGGACAAGATAACGAAATTAACTGATGTTTTGTATCCTGGTCGCGGCACCAAATTCGGTCCTTCTCTTCAATTTTAAATTACACATCAAATAATAGAGTTGGGGTCGTAGATTGTCCAGAATCTGAAAACCCTGTAGTGTGTTTGTAACTTCTTAATAACAATATGGCGGAATGTGTTCTCTTTTCGACTTAGTAATACTGGTTGCATAATTATTTTAGAATGAAAAGTTTAAGAGTGTAAGGTGTCAGAAATTTTTTTTTGTCTTTTGTGTTTCTGTACCCTTGCCGCACGTGCCGAAGTCGTCACGTTGCGCGCGGAATGAAACTTGATGAATATTTCATGATTTATTAAAAAGCCGATTCACACTCTAAAAATTCGGAATTTTTTATTGCGCCAGTAAACGACTTTACATCGCTACCGTCGAAATAATTAAATCAACGAACCTCCGTCAATTTTATGTAGGTTTTATTTCCTTTCGCTCAAAGATGAAATTAAATGAGCTCTACATATATATTGACGCAACCGGGAAACTCTCGAAGGACCTCATTCGATACCCGCTATGAGTGCACCTTATTTCAGCAATTTATCAGGAAAATGATGTTTGATATTTTTCCAGATCGAACGAGTCGCGTTTGAGTCGAATTTGCTTTAATTAAATCGACGTCGAGTTTATATAAAAGCATCCATTTGTAATGCTCGAGAGCTTAAATCGTCTATTTTTTCCAGGGTATAACGCTGAAAATGAACGAGGACGGTAAATGTATAGTAGCTAGAATAATGCATGGAGGGATGATCCATCGACAGGCCACCTTGCATGTAGGAGACGAAATTAGAGAAATTAATGGCATTTCCGTTATGAACCAATCCGTTAATGCGTTACAAAAAATTCTCGTAAGACTAATACCGGGTGGTCGATTTTTCGTAATTTTTGGTTGATTTTCAGCGAGAGGCCCGAGGTTCGGTCACTTTCAAGATCGTGCCGTCATATAGGAGCGCCCCACCCCCTTGCGAGGTATGTAAATATATATATTCGTACCCCAGTAAGTTCGTGCCACCAAAAATTAACGAATAATGTCCATCTTAGCATCGAAAGCTCGCATAAGTTAGGATTTGCGGAGTCTTCCCGAAGTTTGAAGCCTTTCAATTTATTACTCAGAAAAGGGGATTACCGAGACAAATTTGGTCCCATCCCTCACTATGGATTCATTTTTTTCCCTTAAGTGTATTCTTTTCCTGTGTTTTGGATTGTAAATCAACGTGTGGAGATCAAAGCCGTGTTCGATTCGGCGATCTTTTTTGCTTAAAGAGCAATCATCTAATGCATAGGATCTCTTATTTTCCTCTGTAGTACATGCAAGGTTATTTTCTTTTTATCATCCGGGAACAGTTGTCTTTGTTTGTGCCGCATTTTCAAAGAAGCGTTGCTCCTGCCTTTTCGAATCAAGAAAACACAGTAATTGTGTCTTGTACAGCCTTAGCAATCAATTTAATTTTGGTTTTCCCTCCCATTGAGTTTCTAGGTTGTGTGTTTGTGACCCGATGAAAGTATCAGAATTTTTATAAATCACTCATTTCTTTTAAAGCACATCCCATCATGCCAGATATGTGTTGTTTCACACACTCACTTTAGACTATTAGTTGTGTGGAGGTTAGCGATGACTCGGGTTTGAATAACCGTCGAGTCGTTGTTAACCTCCAAGAAATCGTTGTAGTAATTAGAAAAGTAATTCTCTTTTCTGTTTTCGGTCCATCTAGTTATTCCGGATTAAACCTCTACCAGTACTTGTAAGTACCCCAAATATACCTATCTGGTTACGGTGTGGTGTGCTTTAGTCCTAGTCCCATCGTAAAGAATTGTACTTAGTTCCTTCCTTGCCGTAGTAGTGGCACGCATGATTATCTACTTTAGTATCAAAGCGCTGACCCTCTCCCTTTGCAGATTTTCGTCAGAGCTCAGTTCGATTACGACCCCTTGGAAGACGAACTGATCCCTTGCGCCCAAGCAGGTATCGCCTTCAAAACGGGAGACATCCTCCAAGTAACCCTCGCCCACCCTTTCGGAAACCGCGCTCTAAACTTATCCGTTTCAGATCATCAGCAAGGACGACCACCACTGGTGGCAGGCTCGCAAGGACAATTCCGCAGGATCAGCAGGACTAATACCCTCTCCCGAATTGCAGGAATGGAGGGCCGCGTGCGCCGCCATGGAGAAAACGAAACACGAACAAGGTAATCTGATAATGGTCGAATTAGCGAATATCGTCTCCCTCGAGCTTTTTCTCAACTGGATTTTATGTTAAGCTTCTTTATTTTACGTCGAGATGTGATTTTTTTCGGCAGGGTGAAATTTCCAGCAGTTCATAAAACTTCAGTGGCTGATCCCTCACTGTTGCATGTCTATGTTAAGAAGTTAACATTTAAAGTAAGTCGGTGCGTTTGTTATCGAGTGGTTTGTGGTGTTGAGCGGCGCGGATTCCCGGTCTTGGGTTTGCGCGCCGTAACGCGAGTACCTTAAGGCATGGAATCGATCGATATTGAATGCACTGACCTAGACTAAGCATACAAATCTAAACATGGAGCATGAAACCTATAGAGTAGAGCGAGTCGGCGGACGGAATTTTAGTCGGTCCGCCGGCTCGCGTTAACCCTCCAACACTAACAGACAAAAACATATAAAACCATATGATAAACCCTACTTTGGTGTGACCTGTATTTTTGTTGAATGCTAGACGTGGAAAAAGGATGTACTTCTCATGCTAACGGTTGTGATGGTACCACAGGTATATGATGCCTAAATTACGTAGCCTAACGCATGATATATACTAAGCATTGTTTTTTTCTTCGACTGTGACAATCAATGTTTTCCCTGGTAGACAGTGATTGTTTGTGATCTGCTGGGAAAATAACAATAGTCAAGTGCATGGTATTTAGTGATAGGCTAGAGTATGCTTTTCTCGTCACGTTCTAACCTCTAAAATTTCAGTCAATTGCTCAATATTCGGTCGGAAGAAAAAGCAGTACAAGGATAAATACTTGGCAAAGCATAATGCTGTTTTTGACCAATTAGATTTAGTTACTTATGAGGAAGTTGTGAAGTTGCCAAGTAAGTTACTTCCGTGTTTCGCGGCACAACTTCATTTCAAACTTGCAGTGACTGATCCAGCGTTCCAGAGAAAAACTTTAGTTCTGTTAGGGGCACACGGGGTCGGCCGAAGACATATAAAGAACACTCTCATTGCGAAACATCCGGATCAGTACGCATACCCGATACCACGTAAGTCGTCGCGCTAATCCCCACTCGTCTTAACCTCACTCTCTAGATACAACGAGACAACCCAGAGCCGACGAGGAAAACGGTAGAAATTATTTTTTTGTTTCACACGATGAAATGATGGCCGACATCGCCGCCAACGAGTATCTAGAATATGGTAACCCTCTCTTTCTTATCAAAGCGACAAATTAACCCATTCGTCAATTTCCAGGCACTCACGAAGAGGCCATGTACGGAACCAAGCTGGACACGATCCGTAAGATCCATCAAGAAGGTAAAATGGCCATTCTTGATGTCGAACCTCAAGCACTAAAAGTGTTACGTACTGCTGAATTTTCACCATATGTTGTGTTCATTGCTGCTCCGGCTTTGCAAAACATTGCAGATGTAAGCGTCACTCGTTTGTCTTTTTTTAGTCCAGATGTACACAGGGCGCACCCATGTGTAAAGGTTTTTAGATCATAGTAACTGTTTCAAAATGTGTAGATGATGATGCAACAAGCAGCGAAGCCTTTGATCCGACTGCTTTCCTATAGGTGAGCTTTGTGGCGGTTTGCTCAGGTTGAAAAATTTGACACGGGTCGGAATGACGGGTCAGACGGGTTCGAGTTCGTATTACCGGAGATCTAGTTTGCGTAATTATGATGCTGCATTGCTGCATACTAATTTAAACTCTTGGTTGTTATTGCAGTTTCGGATCAATGCGGTGTAATTAACAGATTTTTTGGCGTGGTTTGCGGTTTAATTAAAATTTAGTTGAACGAGTTGGGGTTTCTCATAGGAAAGGTTCTCGGATAGCGAGGGACGTAACTGCGAGTGGTAAATTCTTTACAGAAATTTGGTTGTGATTTCTTTTTGCTACGTTTAAGTTGGAAGGTGGATCACGATGTTGTTAATTTGAATCAGGTGGACCAAAATTCTAATTGACCCGATTCGACAAGGCTTCGCTGCTTCAAGTTCACTATAGTTGTAAAGATTATCTATTTATAATTTATTGTAGTTTTATGTAGCTAATATTTAGTTCAGAAAGTACACATTGTAGTAACCGAGCTCATCCCAGAATGTGTGATTACGTTTTAATTGTATTCACAAACATCTAAAAGGTATACAAAAACGTTTCTCCTAAGATAGTTGTGAGTAACAACTAAAAAATTAAAACGTCATAAATTTTCCAGGGAAGTCTTAAATTAATTCTCTTAGAGCATTTTCATTTCCAAGCTGTATATTCTTGGAACAGAAATTGTACATAACCTATGTGGTCCATTCCTTCCAATTTATGACATTTCGAATCCTTTTTTTTCGTATTCCACGCCTTACATCCTCCCTGCTGACGCCATTTTGGTGTCAGTTCTCTTCCGTCAGGGCTGAAAGCTCCACAAAATTAGGAATACAAACGCCAACTATGGAAATCCGTTTCGAGGGCCCTTCGTTCTGCCTTTATTTGATTGTTCCATAAATTTTTCCCTAAAATACAAATATTGCTATTTCTGTTTTATAATCAAATATTGATCCTTTTATAAAGCGACCTTGAATACCCAGATCTTCTAGAATTTCATGGAAATTTCCTATCTTCAGCCTTTTCCTTATAGCTAACCTGGGACACTTCGACATTGCGCTAAGATCCAAATATTTCTATCTTTGTTTTATAACCAAATTAATCATTGTAGAAAGCGACCTTGAATTCCTAACCCTTCTAAAATTTCATGGAAATTAGCAGTTTTTAACTCTTTCCGTGTTTTCACCAGGGACATTTCCACCTTGCACCAAAATCCTAACAGTTCTATCCCTGTCTTATAATCAAATATTGATCCTTCTAGAAAGCGGCCTTGAATACCGAGATCTAGAATTTCATGTAATTTTCCTATCTTTAACCTTTTCTTTATAGCTAACCGTGTTTTCACCAGGAACACTCCGACCTTGCATCAAAGTCCAAATATTATTGTCTCTGTTTTATAATCAAATATAAATTCTTTTAGAAAACGACCTTGAATACCCAGATCTTCTAGAATTTCTTGGAAATTTCCTACCTTTAACCCTTTCTTTGTAGCTAATCGGGTTTTCACCAGGGACATTCCGACCTGTTTTATAATCAAATATTTCAAAAGCGACCATGAATTCCTAAATCTTCTAGAATTTCATGTAAATTTCGTATTTTTAACCCTTTCTTGATGGCTCACCGGGTCTTCACCAATGACGACACTCCGACTTGTTTTATAATCAAATATTGATCCCTTAAGAAAGCGACCTTGAATACCCGCTCGTCTAGAATTTTATGAAAATTTCCTATTTTTAACTTTTTCTTTATAGCTGACCGGGTTTTCACCAGGGACACTCCGACCTTTCCCGAAAATACAAATATTTCTATCTCTGTTTTATAACCAAATATTAATCCTTCCAGAAAACGACCTTGAATTCCTAAATCTTCCAGAATTTCATATAAATTCTTATGTTTAACCCTTTCCTTTTAACTGACCAGGGTTTTATCAGGGACACTCCGACTTTTCCCTAAAATACAAATATTTCTATTTCTGTTTTATAGTCAAATATAAATTCTTTTAGAAAACCGCCTTGAATACCCAGATCTAGAATTTCATGGAAATTTCCTACCTTTAACCCTTTCTTAATAGCTCACCGGATCTTCACCAGGGACACTCCGACTTGTTTTATAATCAAATATTGATCCCTTTAGACAGCGACCTTGAATTCCTAAATCTTCTAGAATTCCATCTAAATTTCCTACCTTTAACCCTTTATTTATAGTAAACCGGGTTTTCACCAGGGACACTCCGACGTTGCACCAAAATCCAAATCTTACTATCTGTGTTTTATAATCAAATATTGATCCTTTTAGAAAGCGACCTTGAATTCCTAAATCGTTCTAGAATTCCATCTAAAGTTCCTATCTCTAACTTTTTATTTATAGCAAACCGGGTTTTCACCAGCGACACTCCAACCTGTTTTATAATTAATTCTTGATCCTTTTAGAAAGAGACCTTGAATACCCAAATCTTCTAGAATTTCATGGAAGTTTCCTATCTTTAACCTTTTCTTTATAGCTAACCTGGTATATCCAGATCTTCTAGAATTTCATGGAAATTTCCTATCTTTAACCCTTTCTTTACAGCTAATCGGATTTTCATCAGAGACACTCCGACCTAATTTATAACCAAATTTTTCAAAAGCGACCTTGAATTCCTAAATCTTCTAAAATTTCATGGAAATTTCGTATTTCTAACCCTTTCTTGATAGCTCACCGGGTCTTCACCAGGGACACTCCGACTTGTTTTATAATCAAATATTGATTCCTTTAGAAAGTGACCTTGAATTCCTAAATCTTCTAGAATTCCATCTAAATTTCCTACCTTTAACCCTTTATTTATAATAAACCGGGTTTCACCAGGGACACTCCGACGTTGCACCAAAATCCAAATCTTTCTGTCTATGTTTTATAATCAAATATTGATTCTTTTAGAAAGCGACCTTGAATACCCAGATTTTCTTGTGTTTGGTGGAAATTTCGCATCTTTAACCCTTTCCTTAGAGGTGACCGGGTTTTCATCAAGGACAATCCGACTTGTTTTATAATCAAATATTGATCCTTTTAGAAAGCGAGCTTGAATTCCTAAATCTTCTAGAATTCCATCTAAATTTCTTACCTTTAACCCTTTATTCATAGTAAACCGAGTTTTCACCAGGGACACTCCGACGTGTTTTATAATCAAATATTCATCCTTCTAGAAAGAGACCTTGAATTCCTAAATCTTCTAGAATTTCATGTAAATTTCCTATGTTTAACCCTTTCTTAATAGCTCACCGGGTCTTCACCAGGGACACTCCGACCTTGCACCAAAGACCAAATATTTCGATCTCTGTTTTATAATCAAATATAAATTCGTTTTCTGACCTTGAATACCCAGATCTTCTAGAATTTCATGGAAATTTCCCACCTTTAACCCTTTCTTTATAGCTAATCGGGTTTTCACCAGGGACACTCCGACCTGTTTTATAATCAAATATTCAGCCTTCTAGAAAGAGACCTTGAATTCTTAAATCTTCTAGAATTCCATGTGAATTTCCTATTTTTAACCCTTTATTTATAGTAAAGCGGGTTTCACCAAGCACACTCCGACGTTGCACCAAAGTCCAAATATTTGTATCTCTGTTTTATAACCAAATATTGATCCTTCTAGAAAGCGACCTTGAATTCTTAGTTTTTCTAGAATTTCATGTGAATTTCGTTCGTATCTTTAACCCTGTCTTTATAGCTAACCAGGTTTTCACCAGGGACACTCCGACCTGTTTTATAATCAAATATTCAGCCTTCTAGAAAGAGACCTTGAATTCTTAAATCTTCTAGAATTTCATGTGAATTTCCTATTTTTAACCCTTCTTTTGTAGCCAACCCGGTTTTCACCAGGGACACTCCGACCTGTTTTATAATCAAATATTGATTCTTCTAGAAAACGACCTAGAATTTCATGGAAATTTCTCATCTTAAACCCTTTCTTTATACATAACCGGGTTTCACCAGGAACACTCCGACCTTTCCCCAAAAGTACAAATATTTCTGCCTCTGTTTTATAACTAAATATTGATCCTTCTTGAAAACGACCTTGAATTCCTAAATCTTCCAGAATTTCATATAAAGTCTTATGTTTAACCCTTTCCTTGTAACTGAGCGGGGTTTTATCAGGGACACTCCGATTTTTCCCTAAAATCTATCTCTTTTTTATAATCAAATATTGATTTTTTTAGAAAACGACCTTGGATATCCACATCTTCTAGAATTTCATCTAAATTTCAAATCTTTAAGCCTTTGTTTATAGCTCACCGGGTTTTCACCATGTACACTGCGACTTGTCTTATAATCAAATTTTAATTATTTTAGAAAACGACCTTGAATGCCCAGGTCTTCTAGAATTTCATGGAAATTTCCTATCTTTAAGCTTTTCTTATAGCTAACCTGATTTTTACCAGGGACACTTCACGTGTTGTATAGCCAAATTTTGATGTTTTTAGAAAGTGACCTTGAATTCCTAAATTTCTTAGAATTTCATGGACATTTTCCATCTTTACCCTTTCTTTATAAGTGACCGGGTTTTCACCAGGAACACTCCGATCTTGCACCAAAGTCGAAATATTTCTATTTCTGTTTTATAATCAAATACTGTTCCTTTTAGAAAACTACCTTGAATACCCAGATTTTTTAGAATTTCATGGAAATTTCCTGCCTTTAACCTTTGATTTATAACTAAGCGGGTTTTCACCGGAGATCTTCCGACCTGTTGTATAATCAAATATTCATCCTTTTAGAAAGTGACCTTAAAATCCTAAATCTTCTAGAATTCATGTAAATTCCCTTTCTTTATAGCTAATCGGGTTCTCACCAGCAACACTCCAATCTGTTTTACAATCAAATATTGATACTTTTAGAAACCGACCTTGAATTTCTAAATCTTCTAGAATTTCATCTAAAGTTCCTATCTTTAACCTTTTATTTATAGCAAACAGGGTTTTCACCAGCGACACTCCAACCTGTTTTATAATTAAATCTTGATCCTTTTAGAAAGCGACCTTGAATACCCAGATCTTCTGGAATTTCATGAAAATTCCTTATATTTAACCTTTTCTAGCTAACCGCGTTTTCACCAAGGACACTTCGACCTTGCGCTAGAATCCAAATATTTCTATCTCTGTTTTATAACCAAATGTTGATCCTTCTAGAAAGCGACCTTGAATTCTTAGTTTTTCTAGAATTTCATGGGAATTTCCATTCTTTAACCCTTTCCTTATAAGTGACCGGGTTTTAATTGGGGACACTCCGACTTTGGACCAAAGTTCAGATATTGCCGTCTGTGTTTTATAATCAAATATTAATTCTTTTAGAACGCGACCTTAGATACCCAGATCTTCTAGAATTTCATGGAAATTTTCTATCTTTAACTTTTTATTTATAGCTAATCGGGTTTTTATCAGGGACACTTCGACCGCGTTTATAATCAAAAATTGATCCTTTTAAAAGGCGACCTTGAATTCGTAAATCTTCTTGAATTTCATGTAAATTTCGTTCCTACCTTTTCGTTGTTTTTAACCGGGTTTTAATCATTTTAACTGATCTGTCTTACAATCAAATATTGGTCTTTTTAGAAACTGACCTTGAATTCCTAAATCTACAATTTCATGTAAATCTGCTATTTTTAACCCTTCCTTTGTAGCTAACCCGGTTTTCACCAAGGGCACTCCGAACTGTTTTATAATCAAATATTGATCCTTCTAGAAAGCGACCTTGAATTCTTAAATATAGAATTTCATGGAAATTTCTCATCTTTAACCTTTTCCTTGTAATGGACCTGGTTTTCACCAGGGACACTTCGACCTTGCGCTAAAATTCAAATATTTCTATCTTTTTTTTATAATCAAATATTGATGCTTCCAGAAATCGACCTTGAATTCCTAAATCTTCTAGAATTTCATGTAAACTTCTATCTTTAACCCTTTCCTTGTAATTGACCGTGATTTCATTAGGGACACTCCAACCCTGCACCAAAGTCCAAATATTTCTATCACTGTTTTATAGTCAAATATTGATCCTTTTATTAGAAAGCGACCTTGAATACCCAAATCTTCTGGAATTTGTTGGAAATTTCGTATCTTTAACCCTTTCTTTCTAGCTAGCCGAGTTTTCTTCAGGGACACTTCGATCGACCTGGTTTATAATCAACTATTGAGCCTTGCAGAAAGCGACCTTGAATTCCTAAATTTGCTGGAATTTCATGGAAATTCCCGGCCTTGAACTATTTTGTTACAACTGCCTCGATTTTCATCAGGGATACTTTGATATAATACTAAAACCCAATTATTTTGTGGCGCCACAATAACAGGTTGGTAAGCGAAGAAAGATAAGCCGCTCTGTTGTCTAGTGGTCAGGGCACCTGCCCGGCAAGCGGGAAACGTTTGGTTCGATTCCCACCGGGGCAGCAACATTTTTCTTCGCTTCTCTACAATTTTTATATTGTTGTTCTAGAAAGTGACCTTTACTTTCCAAATCTTCTTGCATTTCATGGAAATTTCCGGCCTTTAACCCTTTCTTTCAAATTAATCAGTCCAAATATTTCTGTTTCTCTTAACCTGCCTTGTATTATCCTAATTCATCAACGGTACGCTCTAATTTGATAGAACTTTCTCCGTAAAACAATCGATTACCTGTTTGCCAACAATAAGTGTATTTGTTAACACAATAGTGTTAAATTTAATTCTGGCGTGGCACAAAATGGCGGATGTTAATATAAATTCAGGTGTGCTTTCCGAATTAAATTCCTTTAGTTCTAGTTAGCGGTTAGTAGAGTGTGCAGAATTTCATTGACACGTTTGAATGTTTCAGTTCGACGGTAGCTTAGAAAGGCTAGCGAAGGAATCGGACATGTTGCGTCAAGCCTACGGGCACTACTTCGACTTAACCATCGTGAATAACGATATCGACGAGACTATCGCGGCACTCGAGGCCGCCATCGAACGAGTCCAGACAACACCCCAGTGGATTCCCGTGTCTTGGGTCTACTGACAACAACCTTCCATGGAATTCGGCTCGTTGCAGAATTTCTGAGCCTTTGGGCATCCGATGTTATTGAAGTGAATTAACAGTGGATAAGAAAACCAACACACACACAACACACACTCACACATGTACACGGTAGACTGGCAGCTGTCTTCTTTCAATTGTCATAGTTTAGAGCACTTATCTAGCAACGCTAGCTAACTAACACTAGCCACTTATGTTCGAGGCTCGTTCTTGTTAAAATCGTCATATCACGACGGGCCTCTCATGTGTCGCTTTTTAGCGAAACGGGTTTTAAAGTACTTCCAAAGAACATGTTGATACCAAAGCTGTTGTTCATTTGCTGTTAATCTTATTGTTTGCTATGCAAATAGACGTGGTAGGGTAGACATAGTGTTAATCTTCAAAATGGGAACATTCCATTTCTGTTCAGCACAAGCACAAATTTCGCAACTTCGTAGCCTTAATACCTGGATGTCATGTAGGTTCTTTCAAATATACACAACGCACAAATAAATCAACAACGTATACAAACGATAATTTGCTTCAATACAGAAATGAATAGCAATACGTCTGAAGTATTAACTATTGGTAATTATAAAATGTGATTTACGATGTTTTAAAGACGTCGATACTGTTTAAGACGACTAACACTGAGGTGGATTCACGCGGACTGGGCATTTCATTCGTCGATTTGCTTTGATTTGATTGGTTCGCTTGCTAACACACAAACATATCCGACGGAGACAGTTAGGGAGGGTTCAGTGTTGAAAACGTTTGTCTAACTGTGAAATTGCATCAAATTATGATAGATAAAAAGATACTGTGTAAATTTACTATAACGGAGAGTATAATATGCTTTCAATTTTCATGATAGTGATACGAAATTGTTCTATTTTGGGGCCGTGTGAACTTTATTTTCATATTTTTGTGCTGTTTATATATTATAGATTATAAGTGCCATTGTTTATTTTGTATTTATTGAGATGTTTCAATTATAGTTTTATTATTGAGAAATGATTGGAAAGAAACGAAAAACATTCATTAAACTTATACAAGTGATTGCTTCCTCAAATAAGTGTACCTACCTACTTAAAAAATGAACTAAAGGGTATTCCTAACATAATTTGATAATGAGTAGTGTAGCGATTTAAAGTTTGCATTTATTTGGATAATAGGACAATGTAGTTCGACATTTCTGAAATAAAATGTAATATAATACACCCCAAGACTTTCATTTCACAACTATACTTCCTAGTTCCTTTGGGTCTGACACGTTTAGTACACTGACGTGACGTTTCATTTACGTAATGTCATTTTTAAATCAGAAACGCCAACCACGCGACTTATGTCACATCTTACGGTAATTCAAAATGTTTTCGACTGGACGATATTAAAGAATCTAGGGAGAGTATTTACGTTTATCAATGTACTGGTCCATAAGTTTCCCAACAATGCTATAGATAAAAAATACTTCTATAATAAGAGGATTCTTGCTACTTTGTGTAGGCAACCAGTTATACACAAGTTTGGAATTTGACACATTGACATTAAAATTAATATGCAGGTAACAAGCTACACAGCAATTTAACTAGAGCAATACACACACTTTCTCTTATCAGTTAATTTGCTTAATTAGCATAAAATAAAAGTTTAATTTCAAACGAGAAAAAAAATGCACATGCGCATTTGGCCGTAAATCAGATGTTCACTCACGTTGCCTCCTGTCACTTACGTCAAACTTGTCAAAATAAACCTCGAAAATTTTTCAATGTTTGTATAACAATAATTATCGTTCCAAGCCCGTGGAGATAAGTTGCCAGTACTTCAGAGAAACCAACCGAAGTCACCCATTCAAAAAAAACCTTTTGTGTGTTTATGTCAACCTTATGGCAACCTCATGAAAACGAAGAAAAACCCCTAAAATGGCAACAGCAGAAGTGAACTGGCGCGAAAACATCCTCAGCAAGCTCCAAGAACGAAACCGGTTTCAAACAGACTGCTTCCAAGACCTCATAGCACAGCGTAAGTCCCGAACCTAACCTCAAACCCGTTTTGAATGTTTTCCCTCCAGACAACAAGATTTTCGACGCCGTCAATGCCCTAAAACACGAAAACTTGCAACTGTCGATACAGAACGAGAAGCTACGTCTCGACGGTGACCGCGCCGGGGGCGGCGATAGCCGCCTCCACGAGAAAATACAATGCCTTGAACAAAAGCTGCTAACCCAGCAGGAAGAACTCACGGAGTTGCACCGCCGCAAAGGCGAAAACTCGCAGCAAATAATCGACCTGAACGCGAAACTCCAGGAGAAGGAGAAGCTTATAGTCATGAAAGATATTAGGTTAGTGACCCATTTAGTGATCCCGTTTCACAAATTCGTGATTTGCAGTCTGGCTGAGAACGCTGCCAAAATCACGAGCCTCCAGGCCGAAATCACCCTCTTCGACCGCAACAACAAGGAGTTGAAGCTGCTGAACGAGGCCCTTCGGGACGAACACCAAGCCCTTCATTTAGCTTTCACCTGCCTCGAAGATAAGTTACGGAAGTTGCAGGTACTGTTTAAATATAGTGTGAAGTGGGTGCATGATTAAATTGGCCGCGGTCCAGGTTTCAGTTTGTTTAAAATATTGGGTGTCATTTGGTTGTTTCATCAGTGGAGATTTAAATCATTTCGGTTTTAGGATGAAAATAGACAGTTGGTGGAGAGGTTGATGAATTATAAGACGAAGGACGCGGATAGGATGAATGAGGAGAACGAAAATTTTCTCAAGTAAGTTTGCACGTGTTGGGGGAGTCAAGGTGGCGGGGGCTTTTTGGTTAATAATTTTCACTTCAGAGGCTACTAATTTGTGTTCTGTGGCCTGTTTTTGCTTGCTTGTTGTGGTTGTTATGGGGTCAACAGTTGGATAGTTTTACTTTAATCATAGAGTAAACACTTATTTTAGTTTGATTTGAGGAATATTTGTAGGATTGTTTGTTTTAATAGATGTATCAAAATTTTAGAAATGTTTGGACATTTGCCAAGGAAGTGGTAAGCAGGCGGTGTTTTATGTAAATAAATGCAGGAACATTTGTGGTTTCACTGTAATCTGAATATGTGGTATCAAGCTATATTAAGAAAATAGTTTTTGATCATATGATTGTAACATAAATTAGATTTTTGTTGAAACAAGATAAGATTAGTGTAAATATTCATGTTGAGTATCAACATTTATTTTGGTTAAGTTTGAGATAAGAATTGATTCGGAGGGGTTTTATAGGTATTAAAAAAAGACTATCAAAAACGCTGAGGTATTAAAAAAGTCTGCGCTAAACCGAAAAAACAATTTAAAACAATACGTTACGTAGAAAATAAAATCTAGGTACTAACCACGCCACTGTTCAAATTCATGACAAAAAGTGTCAAAAGTGGTAAATCGGGTCTATTCAAAAACATTTCTAGACTGTCAAAGATGTCTAAAAATTTAAGACCTGCGTCGGCTATATTTTCACTGCATTCTTTATTTTACGGGTTGTCGAAAACACCTTGAAATCGTCTCATTTCGTTTCGGCAATTAATTTACCGAATTCCGATGTTTCTAAGCGATTAACCCAAGAATTTAATAACATACCTTTCAAACAATAAGTTTTGAAACAGTGAGTTATTTGTTCGTCCAAGTGTTTCAATTCTACCAACCTTAATCAATCTTGAAGAATTGTTGATTCAAGAGGAGTCGCAATATCATGAGGAATTCCAATCAATTCGTGATTTTCTTGTAAAACTGATGGTTTGAAAGCACTTGTAAGAAAAGTTTAAATATTTTCGATGAATGTTGGAAAAGTACAATGGAGAGGTTAGAATTCGATGCTTCCGAAAAAATTTGCCCGTTTAATAACCGCGGCCTTAGAAAAAGTTTTCGTACTATTTCTGGTAATAAAATCACAAACCAGACATCTTTAAAAATCTAGGAATATTACAGAATAGTAGGTTGGCCAATTCTTTTGTGTTGCAGTTGTTTCAATAAAAAAGGACAAAAATATATGAATTCTACTTTATACCAAAAAAGACAAACGAATTTGATAAATTTTGCTTCAAGGATTTAGTGACATTTAAGTAAGAGGGATTTTTGAATTTAATATTGTGGTATTTAACGCTGAAGATGTCAAGCGTGATCTACAGCCAACTCTAAATCCAAACGATTTCGATTTTACCCTAAGTATTTATTTTTAGATATTTCCACTAATTTCACAATTATGCCAACATAACGGATTTTGACTCGAGTGTTAAAATAATAATGACTGAAACTAAACATTAGACCACTTTTTCTGGTGATTAACTGAAAAGTAATGTAATAATTCACTAGAAAATATTAAAAATATAATATTTATAAAAAAGCGCTCTAAAATATATCATTTAGTTGTATGAACATATTTTGCTTCTAATTGGTAGAACTGTCGCTCCATCTTACTCCCTGTTGTCAAAATCGACATAACTGAAAGTGACAGTTAATTTAAATCCAGATTTATTAATGGTTGTTGTTAAAATATCATAACCTAGCTTTTTTTGAGCGCTTGAGAGTGACATGAAGTATTGGCAGCAATGTTACCACATCAATTCACAGTTGTCAATTTGATATGAACGCGCTTAAAAAAGCAATGAGAAGATGTCAGCTACGAAATTGGTTGTTCATTAATGTTGTGAATTGTTAAAATGTCACCATGTTGGCTGCACTGTTGAAAAATTAATAGGGTTTTAAAAAATCTGTAGCAATGTAATGAAAGTTACTGAAATTTTAAAAATGACAACTGAATTTAAATGACGTATAAAATGAAAATAACCTCAAAAGTATTTTTATTAAAATAGTGAGATTTAGCGTATAGTACGACAAAATTTATCTGAAAGTTCGTACAATCAGGAAAAATATTTAAAAAAATTGGCACTAACAATTCTCACATTTCGCCAACAAACTTTACAGAATGATCAACAATTACTATTTCAGTTGATATCAAAAAATTTTGCTTACAGTTGGTAGAACTGTCACCCCAGCGTACTTCGTGTTCTCAAAACAGGCATGATTGAAAGTGACATTTAATTTAAATCAAAATTTGTTATTTATTATCAATTATTGTTAAAATATCACCACCTAACTTTTTTAAGCGCTTTATAGTGACACAGGAGCAAGTACCGGCTGACTATTAATAATTGAAGCAAATTTTTGTGTTGGCAATTCTGAAGTGTTGGCAGCAATGTTCCCATATCAATTCACAGTTGTCAATTTGGCATGAGCGCGCTTAAAAAACAATGACAATATGGCAGCTACGGAATTGGTACCCAAAATTTTAATTTTACTTTAGGTATGCCATCATAAAGTTTTAAATATGTTGCCAACCTGACAAAAAAAATCGCAAACATCAATAGTCGCTCGGTAGTTGGATCAGAGTTGCCATTTTCCCAAAATTGGTTAATTCTGTTGCCAACAACAGTATTTATTGATCGCGCTCTGTACTTAAAATTTGTTCATTAAGATTGTGTCAAAGTGTTGGACCCACTGGTGAAAAATTAATAGGGTTTTAAAAAATCTGTAGTGGCAGCAATGCGATGTCAGTTAAATTTAAATGACATATATAATAAAAAAAGGTCAAAAGTATTTTTATTAAAATAACTGGTTTTAGTGGATAGTACGACAAACATGATCTGAAAACTAATACAGGAAAGAAGTGTGTAAAAAAATTGACACTGTCACCTCACCTTACTCTCTCTTGTCAAAATTGACATAACTGAAAGTAACATTTAATTCAACTCAAAATTTGTTTTTGATTATTATTAAAATATCATAACCTAACTTTTTTGAGCACTTGAAAGTGACATAGCGCCAAGAAAAATTTGTCAGAATTGGTTAATTCTATTGTCAACAACAGTATTTATTGATCGCGCTCTGTAATTAAAGTTTGTTCATTAACATTGTGTCAAAGTGTTGGCCTCACTGGTGAAAAATTAATAGGGTTTTAAAAAATCAATAGTGGCAGTAATGCAATGAAAGTTGGTGAAATTTTAAAAATGTCAACTGAATTTAAATGACACAATAAAAAAAAGTTCAAAAGTATTTTTATTAAAATAACTAGTTTTATTGGATAGTACTATAGCCCCTAGAAAACACATAGTATCGTCACCGTGGAGCAGACCTGCCGAAAACTTAACAAAAACAAAAATTATAAACACCATTTGACAGACCGCGAAATTTAAAATGGTTTTATATTGGATTTAAAGTTTGTAGTTTATATACAAAATAGGGAGTTTTAATTTGAATAAAATATAAAATTTAATCAATAAAATCTTATTTAATAATCATTAGTTATATTAATTGACAATTAATTGACTTTAAACAAAAAGACAACGCCAAGACCACCTGACAACAACGATTTACGCGCTGTCAACTCTCTGCTGACACAATTTGGTTCCAAACTAGGGGAATTTTTTGCGTTACCAACTGCATTTGCTCCACTCGTACAACAATGGATGACGGTACTATGTATTTCTAGGGGCTATAGATAGTACGACAAACATTAAGAAGTGTATAAAAAAATTGACAATGTTGGCTCACCTTACTCTCTATTGTCAAAATTGACATGACTGAAAGTAACATTTAATTTAAGTCAAAATTTGTAATTGATTATTATTAAAATATCATAACCTAAATTTTTTGAAAGTGACGTGGCGGCAAGTACCGCATGACTATCAATAATTGAAGCAAATTTTTGGGTTGGCAATTCTGAATTATTGACCACGGCATTTAGAGTCGACAATCTGACAAGAGAGCGCCTAAAAACCAATGAGAAGATGGAAGCTACTGAATTAGTAATCAGAATTTCAATTTTACATCAGGTGTGCCATCATAAAATTTTAAATATGTTGCCAACTTCACGAAAAAATCATGAACATTAATAGTCACTCGGTATTTGATTCAGGTTCGGTTAATTCTACTGCCAACTGAAACAATATTTTTACGCTGTAGTAGGCTTGATATGGCCATTTAAATCAGAAGATACATTAGATTAATAATAATTTGTTACTAGAATTAAAATAATTTTTGTCATTTTTGCCCTATGTTATAATAATAGAAGCATCTGAACCATAAAAAAACGTCTTAAAAGCGGTAACTGTCCAAGATTTATATACCATATGATCCAGAAACAAAGTCGCATTGAAATTTAAGGTTAAAAACATTATGTTGGCAACACTAACCGTTTTAGATTTTCGGTTAAGTAATTTAGTAGTATTTTAAACTGTAGTGTGAAGCGTCAGACTTAATTGCACCACATTTAGTCATCCCCTCCATAAAATTGATGACGTCATCTCAAAGAAATCGGGAGTTTTTTTGCGAATTCTAGCCGTATTGCTGTGAAAGTTTGCTTCGGTTGTGGGTTCTGGTATTTGCACCTCAAAGTAACGTCACATTCTATCTTTCTAGGATATGTTAGGTACCCCGACATAGAAAAAAAATGAACTTCGATATTTCATTGAAAAACTCACGAACGAGGAAACTGTCTCCAACTTGCAACTATCATTCTTATTAATTATATTGAAACCCGACCCTCCAAGCGACATTCTTCAAGTAACACTCGCAAATGACGTACGAATGCATCATAACCGTGAATGCTGAAACTAAAATCCTTGTTATAATGAAAAATTCACCATATTAATAGGTAACTTTATCCTCGGCGTTTTCCAGCAACGGTATTAATGAGGCTGTCAGTTTCCTCTCCTGTGGTATGTCTTTGTAGAGTTAGAGGTCGCACAAGATCAACTAAAGTCCCGTATTCGCTCGAATTATTGTTTACCTTGCGTAAACCACTTGGCAGAATCTGCGTCCAGACAAACCCTGTACGATAATGTAGCGTATGTTTTTAGTTTCGTAGTTTTGTTTGTGCGCATGTGTAGACGATTAGCTTTCTCATCATTTCCAGCGAAGACACCAAGCACTTTTCTTCAGTGCGCCACACTTTCAGCCTATTCAGGTATGTTTACTATTGTACATAGGTGTTTACTTCCACTCGCTGCGATTGCATTGTCCTCAACGATGTTATTCTTGTTCTTAGAAAACGCTTCGCCAAAATGCAGAAGGAAATCGAGGAGGCGTGTAGAGACACGCGGGGGGTGTCACCAGAAGACTTGCAAGAGGGTTACGGACCTTCGTGCCAATCGACCATCCCGACGAAGGCCTGCGTGAAATTCGTAAGTCGCAGAGGGTTCAGACCGACCGGGAATAGTACATTTCACGGTTGCAGGATGCCCACGACGGCGAAGTCAACGCTGTCAAGTGGAGTCCACTGGACAGATTAGTGGCCACAGGAGGCGCCGACAGGAAAGTCAAATTATGGGAAATTTCGAAAGGTCAGTTGTGACGTTGTCCGTTTGTGTTCATTTTCATTTTTTTATATGGTTAATAAATGTTTCGTTTGCATTTGTGTTCATTATTTGGTTTCATGCTGGTGCTGGAGGTGGGGAGCTCGTAGGAGGCTTACGGAGCAAAAGTAACCCTCTTATTGTATAAAGTTGTCTTAAAAGATGTTATTTGTGTTGAGAGTGACAACATTCGTTTTTAAGACCTCCTAGGGCTCAGGTTTCATTTGCTGTATTTGAGTCAAAAGAGTAGCATTTTCTAGTTTCTTAGGTACATGTTTTATTGTTGTAAACACTACCCTGAAGAACATCTGTAACTGAGTGTCAAAAATTAGGTCGCTAGAAGAGCCTAAATTGCGTTATTTTCATCGCAGCAACAATTGTCAGTCCGCTCAGGTAGATACTGTTAGTCTACGTAGGTCAGATTACTGAGAGACACATCCGGATCGCAGGCTCGTTCAGGTCCAGTTAGGTCCTGTCAATCAGGCCAGGTCTGGTCCGATTAGGTCAGGCTGAGTCAGGTTACTGAGGAGAAATCAGAATCTTAGGTCCGGTTGGGCCTTCCTGTGACTTGGAAGAATATCAGGTCCGATTAGGTCCCTTTAGGTCCCAGTAGATCTTGTCAGACCAGTCAGGTCTGGTTAGATTGGGTTGGGTCGTCGGGTCGGGTCATAGAATCAAAATTTGACTGCTTTTCTGTGGTTTAAAATAACCCTAGAATCTCAGATCCGGTGGCAGTCCGCTTGGGTCGGGTTGGGTCAGGTTAGGTCCTGTCCGGTCCGGTAAAGTTGGCTTTCTGTGCCTTCCGAAAATCAGGTGAAGTCAGATTAAATCGGGTTAAATCAGATACCAATCAGCTGTGACCTGAGTGAAGAGACTTTAGAGCCCAAAGTCCCTGTGTCTTCCGCAGGATATTCAAACCTGCCCAGTCCGATATTTCTTCTCGAATAAAAACTTCATTCTCATGATCTTGATGACTGTACAAAAGCGTCTTAAGCGTGGTACCTGATCCAATTATGAATCTTTTGGTACCCATTAGCACCCTTTTGGTAAAGCAACTTTTTTGGGGTTTCGTAGAGGGTGCGGTCTTGGATGTAAAACTGAGTCTTGAAAATCAAGGTACAACAATTTTTTTTATTTATCTCCACAACAGTGACTCTGACAAAAAACCTGTAATAAGCATTTCCATAGACATTTCGATTATCTACAACTTTTGTCAAGAACTTTTCGTCGTAACACTAACAATAAAAAAGTTACGACCTAAAAAAATTTTAAATTTGGGGACGAAAAACCGAGGCGAAATAATTCTGATGTTGAGCCAGTTAGAGTGAAGCAAAAAAAAGCATTATAAAAGAAATATTGTTAGGTAACGAGGAAAAAGGATTCATGAGGAATAAAAAGGAAATAAGCAATGCGTAAGACTTAATTTTTCTCTTCCGCGTCAAAAACTCGCCTTGGTATCCTTTCACCGCCCACCTTTGTTCCAGGAACGTGCGAAAGCAAGGGAATGCTAGTCGGGAGTAACGCCGGTGTGATGGCCGTGGACTTCGACAGCACCGGGACCTTAATTTTGGGCGCTTCCAACGACTACGCCAGCCGAGTGTGGACCGTGGCGGACCAGCGTTTAAGGGTAAGTTTCGGCTTTCGACCTCGTGCTCAGGTACTTGCCGCATGCATCACTCAAACCCAACTCTTCGTTTCCTGCTATTCCGTCTATAATTACGCGGTAACGGTGGTACCGCTCGCAAAAATCATTGATTGATGGGCGCCCTAAACGCAATTAGTGGTGTGAAAATTGCCGGAAGTGCGGTTCTCGAGTGGTAGGTGTCTAATTCCTCCAGGAAGCGCACGGATACACTGCCTAGGAGTCGAAAGCGAACTCGAGCGGTCTCCAACAAGTGTCCACCGCCCCCGCTCGGCCACCCTGTAGCGCGTAGCTTTATCGCGGCGGTTTCCGGGCCAGCGGCGGCCTAGGCACGACATTTATTTATTATACTTATGAGCGAATAAACGAGTCGTTCATTTGTTGGCCAGGAGTTAATGAAGATTACAGCACGCTGCCATAAATTAACCCGTCTGACACCTGTTGGGTCCCGCGTTTACATCTCCACGCATGCACGTCATCTTCTTCGTTCGTTTCACGTGTTCTTCTTCTTCGTGGGCAGGATTTTCGCCGATTTATCGCTCCCATTAGGCCGTTTTGTCGGAGAAATTCTATTACGTACGAAAAATGAAATGTGACTGCTCGGAAAAATTAGTGGCATTAATTTAATAGATTGCATGGCGGCCATTTGTTTCATTAACAGCTTGAAATCTCTGCATGCTTTCCGCTGGATTGTAAATCAAAGAGATAAATGCGCGGATTTTTTAATTGCAAATTTTGTGGGAGTGCGGGTCGTGACATCCGATGACAACCGATGTGTTAACGGTGCGCTGGTTTCGTTTAAGACTTCGATATATCACGACGTGGTTACAGCGTAATTTACGTGGTTTGAGGGGAAACATGGCAAATTAGCGACTTCTTAGTTTCGGTTCGTTAAGAATTTACCGGCGGCTGTAGAACGTGTGTTACCGAAGTGACAACACCTCGGTATTTTTAAACTCCGACTTGTGTACTATAGAAATTGTTGGTCAGAGTTGAGCCTTGTGTCAATCCATGCTACTGCATCGTGTTTACATCGCTAACCAAACAGAATTGGATTTGTGCGTTTAACATAATCTGTTTCGTCATCATTGTAATTTGAATCATCGTTATTTACATGATTAATTGGTAATTCATATTGGGCGCCTGCGATGACTCTAAATACAGGTTTTCTCTAGACGGCTTCATCAAAATCGACTTTAAATTAATTACATTAGTCTTGCACAAAATTGATACAAGCATTTGCATCAGATCCACCGCTGTAAAAACCGGTCGATTTTATAGAGTCCCGTCATAAAACGCGACTTTAATACCACACTAAACCCGGTGTATTATTAAACCTGTATAAATAAATGTGAAATATAACGTAATTAAAGCAAGTGTGCGTTGTGTAATAAAACTACAAAATGTATAAACCTGGTTAGGTGAACTGCTTTACGGGTGATTTATCCAGGTGTCGCTGCAGGCGCTGAAGGTACAAAACTATTCTAGTCTATATTCTAGTGTGAAAACATCAGAAAACTATGGAGCAAGGTCTAGTAAACCCCTAGATTTTACAGGATTTTTCACTATGTCCAGTCATATCAACTGCATGACTATCATAAAATTTTCTATAGTAGATAATACGTGACAATAGGTAGCAGGTTTTGTCATGCGTCTAACTATTCCCGGGTTTGGAACCCATTCCCGACTTCCTTTGAATTGGTCCCACTGGATTTCCGTTCTGTATACTATGGACGTCTAGTTATATCTTAACAATACCAATACTAGTGGTCAATGAGGTCAGGTCAGGTCAGGTCAATGAGATCAGGAATTCAACCATTTTTCTAAAATCGATAACATTTTCAAATCGAATTTTCTGGTACCATCAACAAGAAATGAAGAATGTGCCTTATTAAGAAGAGAATAACGGAATGTGTTCCCATTTCGAATCCTGGTCACGGCACCACAAACTGGCCATTCCACTCAATTTTAAACTAATAAACGTCAAATCATCGACTTTGGCCATAGATTGTGTAAGAAGTGAAGGACCTGCAGTGTGTTTGTGCTTTTTTAACTTTTTTTCGGATTGAGTTCTTTTTTTTTGTATACTGGTCACGGCACCAAAAATCGGTTTACTCTGTTCATTTTGTAGGGTAAATATCGAATAATAGACTTACGACCGAAAATTGTGTAAGAAATAAAGGACCCGTAGTGCATTTGTACGTTTTTAGAGACAATATGGCGAAATGTGTTCCCTTTTCGAATCCTGGTCACGGCACCAAAAACCGCTTTGAAGTAAAATCCGTGTGATAATAAGTTTACCGCGAGAGAAGCTGTTTCAGAGAAATTAAAACATATTGATATCCCCTAAGAAATTGATGACGTCACCTCAAAATATTGCTGAATGAATCCTACCTTAAATGTGCAAAATCTGATGAGTCTAGACTTGCGTTTTATGACTGCATTAATATTTTTTAAATTTGCTTATACAGGATGTCTAAAAAAATTAATTTATAGGTACTGTAGGTCTTACTCAAAGTGGAGCGTTGATAAAATTGGGTATTTGAATAATGTCTGTACTCCACAGATAAAAATATCTAATATCTGTGGAGTACAGACATTATTCAAATACCCATTTTAAAAAAAATAATGTCTGAGTCAATTTATTTTATTGATTAAATCAAGAATTCCAAAACTGAATACTTTGAAATCTTGCAAACGTTTTAAAATTATTGTAAGCATGGTAAATTGTTAATCAAAATATATCTAATATAAAAAATTAAGAGAACAGGTGGGTGGGTGGGGCTAAGTTTAACTTTTTCCTACAGAATGTTCTATAAGCAAGCAATAGCCCCGCCCACCCACTCCCTCTTCATTCCAGTGATTACTCTTAATATTGTTCAGTCATTTACCAAAATCAATCTTATCTTAATAAGTAGTCGCCCCGCCCACCCACCCTTTATTTTCTTAGAGGGTATGTCGTTTGCCACAGTCAGTCTTATCTTAGCAAGTGCTAGCCCCGCCCACCCGCCCTCTATTTTTTCAGAGGATATGGCGTTTGCCAAAATTAGTCTTACCTGGGCAAGTGCTAGCCCCGCAAGTCTTTAATTTTTCTGAGACACCCTCTATAAGTAGATTTAAAAAATATCAATTATATATTAAAAATAAATCACAAGAAGTATGAAGTCATCATGTTTTTCACATTTAAAATAGAATTATTCAGCAATGTTTTGAAGTGACGTCATCATTTTTTTAGGGGGGACGAGCAAATACGTTTTGATCAAAAATATATCTTACTAATGATAACTTGAAAACATTTCTAAGATTTCAAAGGATTCGGTTTTGCAGTTCTTGATTAAATCAATAAAATAAATTCACGCACATTTTAGACAGGATTATCCGGCCAAATTTTGAAATGTCGTTATCAATTTTTTGGATTACAAAGTTATTATGCTTACCATAAATTTAAAATATCTGCAAGATTACAAAGCATTCAATTTGGCAGATTCAAAATTAAATTGCAAAATGTTTTATAATTTTACTTAGTTATTTGCTGAAAAAAAAAATGAGGGAACGGGTGGGTGGGCGGGGCTAAGTTTAACTCTTTCCTACAGATTCTTTTATAAGCGAGCAATAGGTCCGCCCACCCACTCCCTCTTCTTTCCAGTGATTACTCTTAATATTGTTAAGTCATGTTCATCGGGAATTGTCAATTTTATCTTAATAAGTAGTAGCCCCGCCCACCCGCCCTCTATTTTCTTAGAGGGTATGTCGTTTGCCACAGTCAGTCTTATCTTAGCAAGTACTAGCCCCGCCCACACACTGTTCTCATTCTGACGATTTTATCTCTCTTCAATTGAGATCCACTTTTCATTCGGGTTAGACAAAATGAATCACTGAAATGGAGGCCGGGTGGGTGGGCGGGGTGAATCATATGTTCTTTTGTAAAGCGATACTGGGACCTAATAGAACGTAGGCTGGTAAAAAGAAGCGTTAATCGTAATTTGGAGTGAGCCGTTCCTGATTTAATCAATAAAATAAATTGACAGATTCATTAATTTTTTTGAGCCACCTGTATAAGCAAATCTAAAAAATATTAATACAATGATAAATCACGAGTAAAAACTCATCATATTTTGCACATTTCGGGTAGATTTAGGAATTTAACTCGTTACTATGGAAATATACAATTTAACATCTTTTTAGTTTAACAAGTTTTTATGAGTTTAATAGCGGCAATCTTAGCAAGTGATAGCCCTGTCCACCCGCCTCCTATTTTCTCAGAGGGTATGCATTTGCCAAAATCAGACCTATCTGAGGAAGTGTTAGCCCCGCCCACCCATCCTTTATTTTCTTAGAGGATATATGATTTGCCAAAATCAGTCTTATCTTACCAAGTACTAGCCCCGCCCACCCGCTCCCTATTTTCTCAGAGAGTAGTACTTTCTAGTACTTGCTAACTAAGATAAGTCTTATTTCGGCAAATGACATATTCTCTGAGAAAATGGGGGTAATAACAAATTTATAAACAAAACAGCAAAATTGCAAATAAAAATTTACAAATAAACAAACTTTTAAACATATTTATAAATAGACAAATTTAGCAACAAATTATAAACAAATTAATGAATAAACAAATTTATTAACAAATTCATAAACACATTTGGTATCAAATTTAGCAACAAAATAATAAATAAATAAAATTACAGACAAATGGATAAACAAACTTACAAAAAAGGAAATTTTGTAACAAATGTAGCAACATTTTTATAGATAAACACATTTAACAAACGATTTATATCTAAACACAGTTTTAAAAAAAGATAGCAAAACTTTATAAATGAAAGAAGATTATAAATTAACAAATTTCCAACAAATGTAGCAACAAATTTATAAACAGTTATAAATAAACAAATTAAGCAACAAACTTATAGATTAATAAATTTATAAAACAAATCTCTACACAAATTTGTCAACAAATTTCTAAAGAAAAGTTATAAACAAGT